AATGATGAATTAGTTTTCTTCCTGGTATGATTTAAATATCCTTTACCATCCAATTTGAAAATAGATCAGTCACTATAACATTTCTACAGATCCTTTTCATTTCTTATGATATCACCCTTTGATCAAGTTTACATGTTTTCAGGCTTCTGCTCTTGTACCTTTCCAGTGATGGGTGCATGGATGTTGCTCTCATCATGAACTTAGAGCACCCAGCACACAAGACTACCTCCCAAAGGAGAATGTCCTCCATAGTCCCATACTGCTTTGAGTGCTTAGATAGCTGAATTTTTATAGTGCAGCTTTACTGATTAAGTCGAATATGAAACTCAAATTGAGGTTATCTTCGTCACTATGAGAACTACATGTTATTAGTCTGTCTTGTTGGCATGATATTCCTTTTTCTGCTGCTTCTCATAACTTGCCCTCATCTTTTAGCCAAAAGAAGGGGCGGGGGAACTAACCTCCCTCGACTCATGAAATGCTGTAGCATTTTGTTGTTACTATTTCTTTCCTTTAACAAGCAAATGCATTGGGGATTTTTATGTATGTCGAAAGAAGGCAGCAAGCATGGGTTATTTTACTCACTTTTTCTCACGTTATTAGACAATGTTGAAAGAATGATGTTGTTCCAACGCATAAGACAATTGATGAATAATGTTTCACTAATAATGCTTTCTATAAAGAACTGAAATGATTGTAGATTTAGAATGATGTTAAATGAAGGATATTTGTAAAAATGTATATTTTTATTTTAAAAAAATAAGTTATAAAGTATCATTATTAAATTTTGTTGGTATATGTAATTAGAGTGGGAATTCAGGCTAGTTGAGCTTATTTAGATGATCCAAACAAGCTTAACTCTTTGAAAAGCTCAAATAGTTAAGCTTGGCTTGAATATTTGAATTTTATTTTTAAAATTATTTTTAATTCAATTTTTTTACCTTAAAACTAATTATTTTATTTTGTAAAAGGTATAAAATATATGTTTTGAATATTTAAATGATGTATAGGATTCAATTTTTTTTAAATGCGGGCCTTAAAATCTAAAAATTAATATTAAATATATTTTAAATATTATTTTTGAGATATTTTATAGATTAAAAATAATAAAAATATGATAATATAATATTTTAAATTTTTTAAAAAAATTATATAATAATGCACTCAAATATATATAATATATAAAATGGACATACAAATTAAAGAATTAATTAATACTTATTATATTTCATATATTTTTTTTAAAATATAATTTTTTTATTTCAAATTTCTAGTCAAATCTAAACTCAATTGGGTTCGAGTGAATTTTTCAAGCCTATTTAAGTGCCCAAACATCGAAAAACTATTATTTTGTTAAGTTTAATCCTAATTTTTTTTTAAGTGAGTTTCAACTAACATGTTGAGTTTAACTTAAATTATCAATTTTATACGTAATTTTATTTTAAAATATTTTAAAATTTAGAACATAGATGATACAATAATTAAGGGCTAGCCAGCCTATCAATTAGCAAATAGAATGTCTTTCTGAATGTTTGGAAGTTAACCATGAAAGATGTTGAGACATGTGAAAAGGAACAGTAAGGCAGGAACTAATATGAATTACTTCAAGGCTTTCAAGGTGGCAACTTTTAGAAGTTTGGTGGACCTGTTTTTGTGGAGGATGAATTTTGAATATTTTAAGATTGAGTTTGCTAAATTTGAAATAGAAACGGATATAAGGAGAAAAGGAAAAATAAAATAATCTCATAAAAATCCTTATTCATTATATCACTCTTCAAATTACAGTCACAATTCGTGAGCATCTTATTTACATTTACTTATTCATGTAAGCTGACCCACTTGCCTGCATAGTTGAAGCTGAAATGGCCTGTATTGACCTAAGTTTTTTTTTTTTTTAATTAGATTAACCCGTATTTTCTGCTCTCAGGTACCATGTAAGTATGGATATAAATTACATTAAATTATTTCTTTTACACTATTCTTTTTTTTTTTTTGTTCTATCGCCAACTATTATGGAAAACTTGTGATATTATCACCATGCATCTAGGCTAAACATGATATTTACTGTATGGGTTCGTTATTATCAACGGGTTATCTCGGAGATATATTTGTCCTTTTTATTTAACAAAAATACATATCTTAAAATTTAAATTTAAATTTTCATGATAAACTAATTTGATTTTTTGACGAGTCAAACCAAATGTTTCTCATTTCTTTTACACCATTCTTTTTTCTATTATAATTGTGCGCAAAGCATCCTAAGAGATAAGAATTCAAACCTGAATTACTTTCAAAATAACATTAATTATTTTTCTTAAAAATATACTGTATTAATTTTTTATAAAAGATTTAATTACATACTTCCTTCATATATCATGTGCATATACATATTTTTAAAATCAAACATGACCACGACATTTTTTTAAAATATGAATTATTAAATTATGATACTAATTTATGTAAAAGTTTGTAAATTTATTTGTTTTTAAATTTCAAATTTAATTGTTTATCAAGCAAATGCATATATAATGTAAGTTATTGTCCTACCAAACAAGACTCTGTTATAATTAATTAAAGTTAACATGAATGATAATGTTTTTGGTCACTTAAGTAAATAGTTGAATGTCAAATTATAACCCTAATAGACATAATAATTTAGTTGATAGACGTCAATTATTGCCTTTCGGTACCTTAAGAGAGATATTAGTATGAGTTTGTTATAGAATAATTTAATTAAAAACAATATTTTAAATATATAATTTTGTATCAAAAAATAGAAACATAATCTATGCTAAATAAAATGGGGATTGAGGAATGAGACTACCGTCAATCCATGCTATCAATAAGGGAGAAGACGTAAATACAACAAAATAAAATAATAGTATTCTCAAATGCGCCCCTCCGGCTCCAAATGCCAAATTCCAATCCTGAGTCAAACGGCGGGAAGGAGAGGCGAAAAAAGTGAATGCTCTGGTTTGCTTTTTCCAACCATTTGGACTTTTCACTTTGTCCTTCTTCGTCTTCCTTTTCTTCTTTCTTCTTTTCTTTTTCTTTCCTTCCTTTCGGAAATGACGCAGAAAGTGATTTCGCCAATTACGATCCCAATTTATCTCCAATTTAAAATAACACAGTAACACGAACTTGTTTATCTAAACCATACACTTCTTTCTCTGTGTTTCAAGTTTTTACAGTCTAACCATTTTACCCTTCTATTTTATCTGTGCAAGGCTTTGGACTAGTCAAGTAGAAGAGCTTTACACTTTTACTTTATGAAACTAGCAGGTAACAAACATGATTGTAGGTGCACCTTCTTCAGTCTCTTTAGTGAAGTAATAATTAAATGGGAAATAGATTTTAGTTGGAGGAATAAAAGATAGAAGCTTCTTTCACTTTCATTTCTTCTTTTTATATGGTTCTTCCTTCATAGTGCATTCACAATAATCTCAACATCTGAACAAATCTTTCACTTCTTAAGAGAAAACTGAATTTCCTTTCTGGTTTAAACTATTTAGAACATGCAAGAAAGTTTTTGGATAATGCATATCTTGTTCAGTTATGGGTTGATCCCCAACTTACCTGCTCTTCTATGACCTTAAACAAGATGATGTATTAACATTTCACATCACTGTCCTCAATTATTTCACATGGCCAACCCTGAGTAGTTGGCTTGGCTCAACTGCAACCAATAGATGGATAGAGAACTGGTGAATGATTCAATCTACCAGACCCTGTGAAACCGTAATTTGATTGATTGAGGAAAGCTACTTGTCTGTAAATTTGGTTTGAAATAAAAACCCATAAATGAAATGCAAGAGTTCATTAAAGATAGGAACCATTTTTCTCAATTTTGATTTGCATTGAGGGAAGTTGTTCCTGTGTCACATTTAGGTTTGACGTCAATACTCATAAATGGAAAGTTTCATTGCATAAAGCTCTTCCATTCACATTGATCAACCTAGATTTCAGAGCCTAAAGCTCTGCTCATAGAGATTATGACTTGAAATTACGTACCCAGTTGATAGAGGGGGGAGTTTGATTTGACACTCGAATAACCTTGTCTGCTATTAAATGCTAGGCTCCTTTTGTAAGCTACATTGCTCAAATTTTAATTCGATATTCACTCACTGAAAACTGTGTAGTTTTAGCAGTAGAAAGACTGTTTGAGAAAATGCCAAGGACGAAGTCAAGTTTAATTACCACCATAATTGGCAGAGATGAGTTTAGAAAAAGTGAAACGAATAGCTTTCATTCGGGCCATCGCTCCTAAAACGTAGTTAAAAGAAGGGGGTAGGTGCATCCCATATTGTAGACATTGCAAAGAGGGCACATGCTGCGTGCGCCCAATGTCATCATGTTCATGTCCCACCCATTCCTCAATCAGCGCATAATTACTCGGGCCATTCCTCCTACTTGTTTCTACACTACTCTTGGAGCCTTATCCTCTATCAAGGTTTCAACTTTTTTGGAACACTATCATGTACCCCACAATTTAAGGCTGTTCTCAAGTCTTGATCACATTCGCCAACTGGGTTTCATGAGGGCTTAACTGTAATCTGCTTGGTTGAGAACGAATGATTCCGTGTTCCCAACAGGCACCATGTGAGACCTTGGTTACTAGATTATACCCAAGTTGTGATGGGTCTGCCTGCAGGCCGCAGGAAACAAATTTGTGAAAGATTAGTTAAAGGTTTATGTCTCTTTGGATTCGGCTGTGACTACAGTAAGATTTGGATTTTATAATGTTGTTTACCATTAGAAAAAAATAAGTAGAATCTTGACAAGATTATTAAATGTGATTAACGAGAAGAAAAAAATGGAGGGGAGGGGCCCCAGCTCAATCAACTAAAGTTTCTCTCGTGGAGGGACCACAATCATCCAACATCATCACAAGCGTCCCCGTCCCATTTGCACCTAATGAGTGGAAAAATCAGGAGGAGGGAGGTTAAAAGAAGGTTAAAGTTCTCCTATAAAATATACTCACTACCATAGTTGCTCATCAGTATACACACACAAAAACACACAAACTCTCCAAGCCAAACCCACCTCCCTCTCTTTCACATTCATGTCAACCATGGCTTCTTCCTTCTCAAACTGCATTTCTCTTCTTCTTCTCACATCTATTTTCATGTCTCTGCAAATTCATGCCAGAGACAGTCAGTTCTTCAGCAAAGTCACCCATGTCACCATCCCCACCACCACCAACAAAGGTGTTAAGGAGACAGAGCTTCCCAAAAAGGAAGAGCCTGTAAACAAACCAGAGCAGAGCCTTCTTCATGCCTGAGACTGAAAGCAGCTATGGCCTGTATGGCCATGAGTCTGGTCAATTTGCCCCAACACACCACCACCACCACCACAACCTACAAACCATACAAGACAGAGTTCGAGCAGCACACGGACAAATACCCTAACAAGTACTACTACAACAACGATGCCTATAATACCAACCAAAAGGAATTCACCAACACTAAGCTCACAGGAACTGGTTACAGCAACAACAACTACTACAACTACAAGACCGATGCCTACGGAGGAAACCAAAATGAGTTCAGCTCTATGGAGAATCAGAACAATCAGAAATATTACTACAACAATGCAGCTAATGATAGGTACTTTGACAACAACAACAATGCTGTCAATGACAAATACTTCCACAACAACTATGCTGCAAAGAACAATTACTACTCCAACAATAATGCTGCAAATAACAGGTACAATAGTGAGAAGCAAGGGATGAGTGACACAAGGTTTATGGAGGGTGGGAAATACTTCTATGATATTAACGCTGAGAAGTATGACCCAGCCCTCTATGGAGATTCATCCCGAGGAGTGAACGCTAGGAGCTGGGAGAACAACAGGGGTTATTTTGGCAAAAACAATGCAAAATCCTATGAGAACACCAACTCATTTGAAGGATACCAGAACCAGGAAGAGTTTGAAAATGAACCAGAAGACTTTGAGCCATGAGCATGTTTTCAGAGTGAAGAATTCACTTTGCCTGTGGGTGTGGGTGTCTTTCTGATGTTTTCCCATGCTTTAGATTAAAAGATTTACAAAAATGTTGAGGAATATGTTTATTTATGGTGGGTTCTTACTTAGCAGTAATACTATTAGATCTTGTTTCTGGACTTGCGTAGTTTGTGTCATGATCTGGAAATTTGCATAATACGAGTTATTTCTGCTTAAATCTATCAGTAAGTTGTATAACTGAGATAAGCTTGCGTCTCTTTCTCTTGTATCTTAAATTATTATGTTCTGGGTTATTTTACTCTTTCAAAGTATCTCACTATTAAAGGAGATAGAGAGAAAGGAAGAAGAAGCAGAGGCGGACAAAAATCACGAGTTTGTTGTAAAATTTCTCAATTTTGTTCACAATTGTCCTTCCTTGTGCCTACCCATTTAGAAAATCATAATTCCGGATGTATTAAGGTTGTCACATGTTTGCATTTTTTGTTGGATACTGCGAAAGAGTATTATTAGACTCTGGAGTTGACTGATACATGTCCATTTCGTTGTACATATGTCCCTTTCCAGCATATTGGACAAATTGCCTTTCATTAGCTTCTGATATGACCATCTCTTGCAACTGGGGACAAATCAGTTTTCCTAATTTGTTCAGAACTGTGCATAAATTATCTCCTTTCTCTTGAGACCTTTGGTTCTTGGACCTCGGACACGGAACTTTGAACTTGATACTCAAGTTTGATTTCATAACTAAATGGGTTTAGGTTAAAATTACCTATTGGAATGACTAATCTAGATATGGCAATGTGATTATTGTCCTCCCTTTTTCCCTTTGGTGGCCATTGGACAACATTATCATGAAACTACATGATAATCAGATTTTGAAAAATTATGCATCAAGCAATAAGCCAAACGTGACTAGAAACAAACTACGTACTCACGCGTTGCATCAGACGTGCCAGTAATGGCAAGCCATGTTATGTTAGATACTATTTTAACTAAAACGGTTTACTAACTATTAAGTAAATATTCAGCAAAGTTTTACTGTAGTCTCTTACGCATTGTCACTGAAGCACTACTTTTTTTTTTTTCTCTTTTTGGTACTTTATTAATCTTAAGTAGGTGGTAAAGAGACTCAATATTATTGCAAGGGCAACCTCAGCTTAAAAGTTTGATATAATAATTGAAGGATCAATTAAACTAGTACTAATTCTACCTCCATACTGATAAAGTGAGATATACTGATCAATGTGCTTGCTTGCAGTGGGAGCTAACCATTAATGCTGAACTCACTCGCCCGCAATAAATGTGACTAAACAAAAGGTCAAAAACAATCTCGACCACATATTAATTATTTACTTTGGCAGTTGTGGAAGGTAGCACTTGTACCATCACTTTCTGCCTCATCAGTTGTCCCAGGCGAACTGTTTGAAGAAATAACTCAAAATAAAAAATGTCCTTAAAGCCAATGAAATTTGAAGCCATTACTCTTGTGGCATTAAGAATCAAATTACAGTTAATTACTCAATCTCAGTATCAGTTTCTCTGTGACAGGAAAAGGCTGAGAGTTCTGTCAATCTCAGTTTAAAGGAATAGAGCTGTGAAGATACTGCTAATTTGGCTTTACAGTAAGTGCACAAGTCAAGAGAATGAGCTATCCTCTTCAAATGCCAATTGTTTATTTAGTGATTTGGTAAGTGGGAAGAGGCATTCTTAAAATAATGAAAATATTGACGCAAATATGGTTGGTTCTCTCTTTCTCCCGTGATTAGCGGTGGGACAAGATCCCATGTTTGATTATACTTTGTTATGGTCGCAACTAGAGCCGTAGGATCGAGCCTGTAGGGTCGGCCCTTTAGATCCAAAAAATTAAGGACCGGACTTCTATTTTACCTTAAAAAAATAAATCGGGCCCAAAAGGGCCAGCCCTTTTAGGCCCGAAAATAAAAGGGCTGGCCCTTTTAGGCCCGTTTATAATTTTTTTAAAAAAATTATAATATAAAAAAATAGAAGATTAAATACATAATTTAAAAAAATAACATATTAAATGCATTCATTCATTTATTAAGATTTAGCTAATAATATTAGCTAAGTTTAATTTTTATTGGTATTCACTTTGACATTGCTATTTGATATTAGACTTAAATATTTTAGTTTTCTTTATTGTTGTGGTGTAAATTGATTTAAATTTGTTTTTTAAATTTAATTTTATGAATAATAACTTTTTTTATGATTATAAATATATATTTATAATTTTTAATTGAAAAAATAATTTTTTAAAAAATAGGGTCGAGGCCTTGAGGGCCGGCCCTTTAGCCCTAAGGGCTAGGGTCGGGCCTTAAAAATAAAATCCTGGTATGTAATCGGGCTAATTAGAATCAGCCCGTTTAAGTTTTGGCCCTTCAAGAGCCGACCTTTTAGGACCGAACTGGCCTAATTGACAGCTCTAATCGGAGGTTTTAGATTTGCGAGTGGGTCACCAATTTTTTTGACTTGGGTATAAAGAGGCAATCTACAGTGCTGGCATGTTACGTGTGCTTAGCTAGAAGGCTGTATTTAGCTTTTGACGCATAAAAGGTTGAATCTTATATTATAAAAAAGAGAGAGAGGAGAGGAGAGCGAGAACTTTAGAATGTCGATAGGTTTTGACGTTAGAGCAGACATAAAGACATATCAAACAAACCTAACACGTTCAGGCAGATAAATAAATACGGGATGATGTCTCTTTTCACGAGGCCGTGGCCATCACTACTAACTACTATTATTACTATATTATTATTATTGTTATTATTATGTTGTTGCGGTTGTTGTTGTGTTTAAGTTTTACCAGAGAAGGGTTATCCCCCCCCCCCAAAAAAAAAAAATCAAACGAGTGGTTTGATTCGATATTCATCTCTTAAGACTTAAGTTTATTTGATTTTCTAAAAATGATGCCTTAACTATATTGAATGTTATCTCTCTCTCTCTCTAGCAATCCAACATGGTCTTTGGTGAAGAGGAATGATTAGTGAATATGAGGGAACTTGAAAAGCCTAAGATGAAATAAATTAATCAGATGAGAGATTGATAATATTTTCTTAGTTTAAAAATATAAGATATTTGTAATTGACTTACTCCTCCAATAAATTAACTAATTGTTTTTAAAATAAGATATCTTTTTATGCTTGCCCTTATTTAATATTATATCTTATTTAAAGGGAAAATGTTGAGTGGTTATTAATTAAGGGTATTTTGAAAGAAAAAAATTATAAACATTTACATTTAAAATGTCTTATATTTTTTAATATTAATCTCAAAAAATATTCATATTTTTAGAAGAGGGAGTAATTAAGTCACAGATATATTAAAAATTTAAAAACATTCACATTCTCCTTCTGGTCCTCCCGTTCACAATAATTTTTTTTTTAAAAGGTTGTTAACTTAGTATAGTTTTATTGAATTTGTCAATAATTTATATATATTTTTTCTAAGTTATCCTATGAATTATAAATTGTACCCTCTCTCATAATCTCTTTCCACCTAATTGATTAATTGTGAAAAAATTGAGCATGCTGTGAAAAGCAATAAATGTAGGAGACAATTCTAAAAATGGTCAAATAGAAAAGACCAAAACATGCCCCTTAAAAGGGTTATATACATGGCCAGAGTTAGAAATTTTTATTAAAAAAGATCGAGATAATAAATATATATGATAATTATAAAAAAGTTAAATATATATATTACTAACGTGATATAAATATTTTAACATATATATATAATATATATTTATATTCAATTACACATATAATATATATATATATATATATTAAATTTTGCTTATCGATTTTTCATAGTATAAAAATCATGTCTACAATAAATGTTTAATAATTTTCTTCTCAATATAAATTATCATTAATTGATAAAAATTTTATCATCTCTATGAGCAGTAAATGATTTAAATATATCATTGAAATTTAATGTTTTATTTAATGTAATAAGTTTATTACTTACTTATTGAATTTACTATTTAACTCTTTCAATTAATAATCCATAGTAAATAAATATATCAACCATTAATAATGCTCAATTAATGTCAATGAGATCTAATTATATTAGAGTAAATCATTCATATCATAAATCTCAATATCTTAATTATTTAAAAAAGTAATTTTTTTTTAGAAGAATAGCTTCATCAAACCTCTTAACTTTTGAATAAGTGATTTTATGATAAATATCAATCACATAGTATTCAATATATTTGAAATTTTTGTTACCCAATGTTTAATAAAATTTGTTAATAATAATTCTCAAAATTTCTTTCATTAAACATAAAATGATGTTAATACTTTAAGAATATACATAGTATTATTTTGTTAAAAATAAGTAGATCCGATGGCTTTTTCAAACTCCTAAAATAGTTGCTTTATATATATGTAAAAAAATTATATATAGAATTAAAATGAGAATTTCATCTAATGTTTCTTAACTTCTATAATGTGTCAACTTATGAAGTAAAAAAATATATAATTCTTACATTTTACTAAAAAAATTAAAAAGTTAGGGGGTCATGACCCCTATTGACCTCCCCCAATCTCCACCCTTGGTTATACAAACGGGACATGAGGGAGTTTTATTTTTTTAATTATAAAAATATGCAAAATGCCATATATATATATACACACACACACACATTAAAATTAGAATTTATTTTCCTGTTCTTTCTTGTAGATGTTACATTTAGAAAATTTTCCTCCTAATCTCTCTTTTTTATTTTGTCATTTAGGAAGAAAAAGTCAAATCCCAAATGCATTGTAGGAAAAGTTTCTCTAGTATTGACAAAATTCAAGTGAAGAACGTGTTACTACTTCTCCTAAAATCACCTGATATTTTATCTTGAAAGTTGAAACTATATTATTGGTATGCAAGAATAGAGACCAAATTTCAAAATCTTAAATGGGCGTTGAATAATGAATGGTGTTTAGTGGTACCTTTGATGAGACAGAAAGAAAGAATTAGCAGTAATTTAAAGTGCAGGCCTTGAAATTAATACTAGGCAATGGGATGGCTAATCAATTTGGTAGGGCCAAATTAATGTGTAACAATGGGAGGCCTTAATTTGAGTCGTTTCAATTCTTGAAGTGCCGTATTTAACAAGGGTTTGTCTCTGACTCTGTCCAATCCAACAATAATAGTCACCGTTATTGTTTTGTTTTTCTTTTGGCCAGCAATGATATACCAGCATTATTAGTGACTTCCAGTGCACCCTAATTATCATTATTTTCTCATAAAAAAATATCATTATTTTCTTCCCACGAATACTTTTATTGTTTATTATTGTGTTTAAAAATATTATGAGTGATCGTCAATACATATAATTAATCCCCACCATACCTTATGTTCCTTATAGGCATTGATTATTGCGCATTAGTATATATTTAAAAAGGAAAATATAA